GTTTTAAATATTCGAGTTTATCACATCAAAATTCGAGTTTATCACTCCAAAATTCGAGTTTATCACATCAACCATTATTAATAATTGATGTGATAAACTCGGATTTTGGAGTGATAAACTCGAATTTTGATGTGATAAACTCGAATATTTAAAACCGGTTCCAACCTCTAGTCGTTGTTATTTTAGTTAATCAGTTCGGAGCATTACTCATAAAACTGACAAGTAACCTAACCCATAAGTAACTCATAAAAGATCAATAAGCAATTTTAAATCACTATCAAATAACACTTTAATCTTAGTAATCACATTGGCTTAATCTCATCATTCAATTTAACTAATCACATAATTGAAGATTTCCGTTCATATCTGATATGTTTATTAGATTTTATGTAAGTTAAACTATATATCCAAAAATTCTCTGGAAAAAAGGGGATATACAGTAAGCAAGGTTGACTGTATATAGGATCAAATTTCAAATAAATTATTAAAAAATTAGAATGGCTTAGGAAATAAATACCAGGAACAAAATGTTATGTAAATAATTCTGTATTGATTTTATCAAGATAAGTGGTTTCCGTCCAAATCTTAAAATCTTAAACCAGATTGGACAATATCTTTGAAATTATCCGGCAAATTCATATGATCATGAAAAAATTTCTTTTTAATATTTTTCATGTGTTACGATGTATTTATGCTTATTCCAGTATTCAAATTGAAACTTAGCGAGCGACTATTAATCATGATCATAAATTGCCGGATAACCCAAATTACTGTTATTCGACATTTTGCCCAATACTTATGCGTTAAACTTTACATTCGGTGCCCAAATAGGTACGTATTTTTCATTAGATAGGTATATATGATCTGATCTGATACGGGATTACGGTATCTATTGGTACAGTGCTCTTGGTAAATAAATGGGTTTACAGTGTGTGCGTCCGCGATTTCTTGCATTTGGCTGGTCAGTATGATCGTAGATCTCCTTTTATTTTTATGAGCATTTTCGGACGCTTTATCTATCGATAATATAGTGCGAATGGTACTGTACGTATGCATTATATTGTTGGCTTCAGAATTTGTATATAAAAATAATTCGATTACGATTCTTTTCCATAAGAGTCGTGGATTGTAATACTGTCTTGATAAACAAGTGATCCACTGTAATTATAAAATTATGTGAAATTTGCAGATTAAAAAAAAAAAAAGAAATTGATCTAGTATCTTTTGTAGGAATATAATTTGCATATTCATCAGGTTGTAAAGAATTTGATCGTGTATTATTAAAATTATTTATTTTTTAGCCCGATAAAAATCTGCTATTACATGATGAGCAAGAAGAAAATTTAAAACTTGCACCAAACTCAATCTATTACATGATTCTAGAAAATTAATTTGTTTATTACTGAATGAATCATGAAATTTCAGAGCAAAGGTATAAATTTTTTCACTGTTACAATAAGTTTTAAAAGTTGCACAAAAAAGACAATTTGTGTATTTAAAGCATGTTCTAGGATAATAATTTTTGGCTATTAAAGCAATATACTGATTCCTGTAATTATTTTGAAGCATATTTGAGTATGCAATTTATCCAGTTGATGATAAAATGACGTAGAGTTTAAAGATTGAGTTATAAACTCACGTAGAACTAAATTTATGTAAGCGCGTACATACATATCAGGTATGTAAACTACAAGATAATTTACGAGATAAAACCCGCAAATATTTGACCTACAATACGCTCTAATATTATAAAAAATTTCTCAAAACCTTAAAAAACTGATAAAATATTTTATATTTTATATAAATTTTTTTTAAAGAACCGTCGCAAGATTTTTAACGCTGAGGTTTTAATGTCGACATGATATATTTACGCACATACTTTGCGTTCTTAACTATTATGGTCATAATATAAAAGGGATTTCTCATGCTAACTTTCACTTTTTCGAACCACCTTATCCGAAAGTTAAGTTCCGTGGTTCACATATATTTCAAAGTTACTTTTCTCAAATGTCATTTCTACATTTGCAGATCCATAGATTGATAGTTCTCAAGTCTGCAAAATCCGTCACACTGCTCTTCTGGCAAATTTGGTGATTAAACCTAGCCACTTTGCAACAATCTTATTGCCACAACATCATTTCTCGATGCACCATACAATTGGCTATATTTTACTTGTTTTTCATATTTCACTTCGTTCTTGGTAAGATCTTTAGTATCAAGTAGTTTTTCCTAAAAACTTTTATATATTTTTATCCAGTCTTCCGAAGATATAATGCTCCAATTTTTAGGCATATCTACAAGAGTTTTCAACCAATCACCGATTTTGTTACGATGAATAATATCTCCATTATTATCAAGAAAAAATGATGTATCAATATCTTTGAATTCATTATTCCACGCTTTTAAAAGTTGCTCAATTTTTTGATTCGTATTCGCATCAGGATCATTATATTTGAGATCTAATCGTTGTGTTGTAATACCTGTAGGATTACTATTTGATACGAACTTTTTTGACAAAGATCCACCCAAAGTAAAAGTTCTTGGTAATAAATATCCATAATCGTTTCCAAATAACTTGCAAAGATTTTTAGATGAAGTATGACTTTGAAGCTCTGAATTAACTGCATTTTTAGATGATTCATAACTTTGAAGTCCAGAATTAACTGAATTCTTAGATGATTCAAGACCTTGAAGTTCGGAATTAACTGTATTTGAAAATTCTTGTAAACATTTAATATCCAATAGGTCAAAAGAAATCTTTTTAGTATGAAAAATTATTTGACAATAGATTGCATTAGATGGTTGATTTTTAGTGTTCTTAAAGTCCTCTAAGGGAATATTAAGTGCTGAACTATGCTCAGTAAAAGGAATTTTATCAAGTTCTAATTCATCCTCCTCTTTTAAAATAATACCATTTTCTAATAAATAAGCTTCTTGTCGAGTTTTAGGCTGCGTCAGAATTATACTAATTTTATTCATCGATATTATTTTGGGTTCCTTTAAAAATTTATATGCGGCTTTTTTAGCTCGTCCTGCTTTTGAACGCTGTAAAATTACGCCATGTTGTAATGAATTGTCTTGAATCCAATCGCATAAATACAATGGGAGTTCTGGTGACGTAATCCATTCCAAAACATTTTTTTTAATATATTTAGAACGAATTCTTGAAATCAATTCCGATCCGTCATTATGTTGAATATTAGAACATTCAGATATTTTTTGAACTAAATCATCTGGTAATAGTTTGAAAGTAGGTTTGAATTTCTCGTATGTTACAACTTCTAAACATTTAGCATTATGTAAGTCTTTAATCCACTCATATAAATCTCCAGCAGTTTGTATTTTTTTTGAATCTATGAATAAATTCAAGTCGTCAATTGATGTATTTTCAAAATTTCTTAATCTTATACCTTTTGCATAATCAATACCACATTGAAGATAGGCCTTTAAACGTGATTTATTTACGATATCAATTTTGGACCAGTTTTTAACTACAATAACACCTCCAATTGTTGCTGAAATGACTACGTATTCACCATAATAACTAAGCTTTTCTTTAAGCTTCTTTCTTTTTTCAATCATATCAGAAATATTAAGCGCATCTCTAATATCTTGAATGAATTCAGTTGTTGCATTACATTGATAATGTAAAGTTAAGATTGGAATGTGGATATGTACAATATCATGGTCTGTCCCCATTCCATTTCTTTTTGGAAAATAAATAATTGGGATTGATTGACTTATTTTTTCTACATTTAAATATCCATCATCTCCTAAGATAATTCCTGTTCCAGGAATGAAATCGTTAACATTAAGATTCCCGCCTTTATTTAAGCCATAAAGTTTAATCCAATGTTCATTTATAAAATGTGTAATTGATCCGATATCTGTTTTTTGTAGCTTTTTAAGCTCATTTAAAACAGTAACTAATGTTGGACGCTGGTTTGGTTCGGAAGACCAGCATTGCTTGTAGAGATTAGAATAATTCGAAGGTGTATTAGTAGTTGTTTTTTCTCGTAAACCTCCTGCAATATGAGTGCTTAGGATAAATTTATTAGGGAAATTTGAAAATGGAGGAATTCCACTTGTGAGCTCCCATAATAGTACACCTAAGCTATATATATCGGATTTTTTATCACGTTTAACCCTTGTTTGTTGAATAAAACATTGTGGTTCAATGTACGGTATAATTCCAATCATAGTAGAACCACCCAAAGTGACGGAATCATCCAACTCTAGTGAATATCCAAAGTCAGAGATTAGTGCATTACCATCATTAATCAAAATATTTTTAGAGTGCTAGGATTTTATAAATAATTTAGTAATTTTGGATTTTAAAGTTTATTATATCAAATGAAAACATACCAGATCCCGATGAATAATATCTTTATCATGTAAATATTTCAACCCATTAGTAATATCATTGGCTATTTGGATTAGCTCAGTCCATGAAATTTTATAAAGACCAATTTGTTGTTTTTTTGCCAAGTGATCTCGCAAGTTTCCACCATTAGCCAATTGTAAGACGAGCATAATGTTATAAGCTTGCGTAGCTAGTGATTAAAAATGGGCGAATAAAAATAAGAATTATTACATATATTTTAAACATTTATCATAGTAGAACCTTTATTACGTATATTGTACCTCGTGAGATTCCATAGAATTTTATTACGTTCGGATGTTCAACTTTATGAAGAAGCCCAATCTATATACATATATAACAATTCTTTAGTTTTGGATGCTGATCCGTTTAAAGTTTTAATAACTTGGTCAAATACTTTATATTTCGAGTCAATCGGCTCACACCAACCAAATGTTGATGTTAAGAGATACAGAAATAATGGACACTATATTACCTCACGTATTAATAATTTAAACGATTTCTCGTCATAGCCCACACCATTATTTAGACATTTCAAAGCATATGATTCATCATGGAATATAGCAGAGTATACAACAGAAAATCCTCCGCGTGCAATTATTTTGCAGTTTTTACATTGTGAGAAATCAAATTCTTTTATATTTTCTTGTTTTAAAAGCTTTTCCACTTCCTGAAAGTAGTTTATTTCTGGAATTTAGAGAGTTGTTAATGCATTGTATAAAAATTTTATTGTAGCAAATAAAAGTTGGAATCAAATTTAAATTTTAAATTCGAATCAATTCGAATTTAAGCTTAATAATTGTAACATTAGAAATTCGATCCCGACCTCTAATAGTGGTAACTTACGTTCTGCCATGGTTCTTAGCGCTAAGGTACGTATACGTATACATTATTCAAAATCTTTTGATATACATAGAATTACACAAAATTTGTTTATAAACATTATGCTATTATTTTTGTTATACATGGATATGATGCTGAGTGTTTACGTTTATATTTGTGTAATGTATGACTTTTATTTGTGTAATGTATGACTTTTATTTATTTATATCATTGGGGTTTTATATTATTTCTTTGATGATTCTTACGTGATACTAATACCATCGGGCTTATTAATTTTCCTATGACAAATGCAAATCATACGGCAATTTTGGATAATAATTTTCAGCTCCTTATCAAAAATATATATATATATAAATATAAAAAAAAATAATAATAAAAAAGTAAAATAAAAATTTGTAGTTTAAAACTTAAAAAATTTTTGTGCAAAAGCATAGTAAAAAGGAGTCATGTTTTTTTTAAAAAAAAAGTTTCATCAGGCTCTATACATATAAAACTATCATAAGAATATCAATATTTTTAATGATATTAAAACTTCCAAATCTTCATTATATTTAATTTTTTTAAAATTCATTTGTGTATGAATTTCGCTATCGGAAAGCATACCCCATTTAGATTTTGTTACACCATTCTGTATTTTAGAAAATTCATATAGTCATGAGTATCATTGTTTAGTATGCCTTTGACTATTTCAGTTTCTGGCTTATTCTTTTTTACCTGCTGAAAGGTTCGAAATATGTTTCTAGTACTAGTGCTAAATTATCACTACTTTGGGTAGGATTCTTGAAAGCGATGTTTAGGTTTGCGAGTAGTATTAGTAATTGGGATTGTCTCACTTCCTTGAGACTGATAGTACTACAGACATTACAGTGTTTGAGGGTATATTTACTGACTGGTTTATATAAATACAATTTAACAATGATGATCTACGGTCCGTAGAGAACTCTAGAAATGATTATTTTAGATGTGGAGAAGTTCTCCTTACTCTGGGAATGAAGCTCTTTATTCATGATAAAAAGATTACATACATGTATTTTAAGAAAGCATACATGACCACGAAGGCAAATCCTTCCGATAAGACCAAACAGTCCCTTTTACCCTTCCATTTTTTAGGTTTGCTCTTTCTCCGAATTAGCATTTCGGTCATTTCCGTCTCGGCCGTAAATCTCGGGAAATACTTTTTTTGACAGTGATCTCCATAATAATTTGATTGTGATCACATGAAGGTCATACGAGTCACAATTGGTTTCGCATTACTGTTACTAACTTTACAGAAACCTGTGTTTTTTGCTAAATATGTTTACAATATATTTATTATATATTAACAATATTAATATTATATGATCTAAAATAGGATATAATAAATATACTTTGAATATATATTAATCATATAATAATTATATTTTTGTTCTTTCTGCTAACTCTTTTGTAACTTTAT